TTGTTTGGCCGAACCTCGGGGCAGGCGGGGTGCGGGTGCGGTGCCAGCTGCCAGTAGCGCACCAAATCAACTCCTCGGTGAGGCGTGGACGCACGGGTCACTGAATATTGGCAATTAGGCGTCTAGCCTCTTAGCATACTGACACAAAAGTTAAAAGCGAACTGAACCGAAGCAAAAACTAATGAATCTGCGACGAAGCGCCATAGCCCAAGTTTAGGGTACGGAGAGACGATCACGTGGTCGAGAGTTCAAATCCCGCCATTCCACTATTGTCGTAAAGCACATTTTAGCACAAGCTTAGTGCTTAGTTGGGAATTGAAATGGGAGAGGTGTATTAAAAATTGAAATAAAACAAATACTTATTAAAAAAATTATTAAATACTGCTAAAGAGAAACTCTTTAGTTTATAATGTAAAGATAGTTAATTACCAATTTTCATTTTCTTTATAATACCTAGGTGGTAGCTAAATTTATGGAACTTGATAAAATTATTGTCCACTTACAAGGACACCTGTAGAAATAATAATAAAGCCTTATTGTTGACGATTTTAGATTTTTTATGAGTCTTTTATTGTATATGGAACATTAATAAGAAAAAGGCGGTTTCGAGTGGGCGTCTGTTTACAAACATGAAGCACCGCCGCTGCTCTGCAACACGCTGTTGCTGGATACGCTACATTTAATTAATTATATTGTAATTTGGTACAATATCAATTATAGACGGACCGTTATTACGTAGTCAAAGACAAGATGCAATGGCCTTTTCATTTGGGAAGGCAAAGGCCAGGAAGTAGTTACACAGTCGTCTGTGACACGCACCACTTTACTACCTACCACATTCAATGTACAGTTTGAAGAAACAGATCGATGCATAATATAATATATACGTTGATATGTAAATGGTAGACGATGTGCGAGCTACATAGGTATTTTTTCTGTTAGTTTTTTTATTACTTTTAATACGCATAGATAAAATATTGACAAGTTGACCATAAATCGAACATAATTGAGAATTTTTTAACAAATTGTATGTGAGTATTGCGCAGCTCTATGCCATACCAGCTGCGACAATATAACATTCAACAGATCATTGTTCTCATTGTCCCACTCATCCAGCGCAGCCATCGCCTCTATCCGCTCCGGAAATTTCTGCTTGCGTCTTCAATTCTGTTATACAAAGAAAGATGTGTTCGAAATACTAGACGTCATACAAGTACTGATGTGACAGGTACAATCACCTCACCTTATACAAATGCAGTCAAAATATAAAGTAATCCACGGGCTGAGGCAAAATGTTCCTAGCTAAACTCATTAGTGTGACAGCATAATATAATATGCAAGTGACTACCGCATACAAAAAGCAGACATGTTGACGTGGCCAGCTGGCAAGGTAGAGTAGGGTACCTACTTGGTGCTACCAAGTATAGGTGCAGTGCGTGCCTCGACTGCAGATATGTAGTAAATAGTAGTAGCTTGTAGCGCTAGCACAAGCCACGCAATATTCTTATAACATGTCATTATGTTTTAGATGTAATTATTGACTAAATAAACAACGTTGTTAGTGCAGACGCGAGCTATGATATGTAGGTATATTCTTGGCGCTATCGGCTACTTAGTCACCGCGGCCGCCGCGCCGCGCCGCGGGAATTGAGGCCTCCTTATTATAAGTTATTGACATCCGCTCTTACCATGCAAAACGCATATCAAAACATTTGTAACACTTATTACTTAGCAAATGTCTACGATGCTTGAAAAAACTAAAAATATACAATGCAACCTGCATTACTACCTGAACTAGGAAATAGCAACTATCTATAAATGCTTTTAAAGGGACAGAGTTCTTGTTAACTCATGTAGCTTCATTATTTCTTTTTTGGCCATTTGCAGTAAATATCCGTGTGTTAGAATGTCAGTCCCCAAAGTTCCAGCCCCCGCTGCACAGACGACCAGCATTCTGTGCACACAGATTGCAGATTGAATTGAACACATCCACAGCTCACACATATGTTGTGACTACACAATGATTGACACCAATCAAGATACAACGGAGCGGACGCACGTACAAGTAACAATTATTATCAAGCTGGCAGTTTCCATATCAGATAATGTTTTCTATTTGTATAGTAATATACATATTTATTTTCATCTACACCTTTTGATTACGTGTAGAAAGTATTCTAGTCATCATATAATAAGTAGCGGTTCATTGAAATTTGCACGAGTGATGTCGAGCAGTGGTCGTGTTGCTGTGTTCTCAGCATCACTACATTTCCGAGCGAGTGTTAGCGCCATGTCGTGTCGCAACCTGCAGCGTGGTAGCCGGTAGCCACATGCACGTCGGCGATGTCGGACGTTCTCACCGGCTACGACTACGGCCTGTATTTGGACTTTTCTCACGTACCACATGCGCCGAGCCCCCGGCAAGCGATTCACGCCCCTGTTGCAATCAAAATACGACATGCGCGTGCACAATGTCGCGTGTAATTGAATAATAATCTTACT